CCCTTCACAAATACAAAATATTGATTTTGATGGGTCAGTTTGTATGGCAGCTTAACAATTTCCCCGAAGATTACACCATTGCCTTTAATAAAATCGTATCCGAAATTTCATGAATATATTTCGTCAAATGAAAAATTTTTCCGTACAAAGACTTAATTATGATTGTTTAGTTTGCATGGCAGCTATATGCTATAGTGGTCCGATGTCGACGTTTCCGGCAAAGGAGCAGCTTCTCGAGGCTAAAATGACGTCGACATCTGAAAAACTGAGGGATTAGTTTGCATATTTCTAGACAGACGGACATGGCTAAATCGACTCAGCTCATCATGTTGATAAATTATATATTATATATAGTTTATAGGTCTTGAAGTTTCCTTCGGGTGTTACAAACTTAATATACCCTGTTCAGCATATATAATATATTTGTAGAGAGAAATGTTTGTGGTCTTATTTAACAATTTTCCAAAAGTTGTTAGGGCAATATAAAACCAGCGTTTAAAAGCTAAAATTTGCAGGATCACGCTAGCAGTTTGACTCAGAGTTTTCTAGTAATGATCATATTGTTATCCTGTTTTAGTATAATAAGAATACTAGTACAGCAGTTTTGAAGAATTTTCTCTGAGCGTATAGTAGTGAGAACTGTTTGATTCTCTATTTTTAATACAAGTGTACGAAGTTTGATCAGAGAACTAAATTTTAAATAATTCTTCTATCCTAGATCAAGAGCAAAGACCGAATTATCAGAGCGGCGTGTTTGAGTCAATCTGTAAATCATTAGTAATGTTGACATCATCGACTATATTTATTCTTTGAAGTTTGTGTTTAGTTCGAAAGATAAAGTTTTCTCAATTCTTTCGTTTGTCCCACATCAAAATTGTGTATACACAATCCGCTAGGAGCAGCCTTCGTCTTCAGTGTGTAATTTAGACCATTTCTATGAAACAATACTCAATTTATTATACAGCACCACAACATCTCGGCTCTAGTTTTGAATCATTCGTGATGTATCACAATAGCTAGACGATATCTTTAGACATTTAGTGGTCATGGTTAGCTGTTCTACTTAATGAAACGCAGAATTAAGAGTATTTTATTTCTTGTGTAGATTGAACCACCCTCGTATAGTATAGAAACACGCAAATTTTGAAAACGAATTTTCTAAACAGAAGTCTTGAATTGCTTTAACCCGTGTGGAAATTCATTACGAGCTTTTCAAAGTAAGCATTCAAAGCGGTGACAATCTACCCGTTTAAGTGCCTTTTCGAATTTTAGAAACAAAAAGAAGTTGCATAGAGCCAAATATGGAGAATATAGCGGATGAGGCAGTATTGGTAACCTTGTACAAACAATTGGGCTATGGCGGAGATGTGAGCCGATACATTGTCACGGTGTAGTGTGTTTTTCTATGATAAATGATAAAAGAAAAGAAAAAGAAAAATAAATACGGACTTTTGAGATGCCTACTATTTCGCACACTTCAATCGGCGGTCTCTGAAATGGTCAAATAAAATCAGTCATCGGAAAAGTCCTTTGTTTTATAAAATTATACCGTTATCTAAAATACATTCAGATGGAAGATTTGGTCTTATTTGGAGTATTTAGAGTATTTGCTAAGACTTTACTTTTACTAGAGTAGACTATACTTTTTATTGTTGATGCACGATGAGTAGTTCTTTAGTGTTCATTGATTCAGTATTACTTTGCGTTATCTAATGTTGAAATTATTAGAGCTTTTTTAGCTTTATAATATTTTGGATGAATAGCAGACTTCTATTTCGTCGTTTCCCTGCGAGGATATTTGAATTGAAAGTTGAGTACATCAGATAGTTATAAACATTTGGATATAACTTTTCTTCATGGAAGATTTAGGCAGACATGCTTGAAAAATGTACAAAATTTTTGATATCTCGTTTCATATCAGTAATTCAGCTTTCACTATTTAGGAGGAATTCTATAAATTTTCATATATAACAAGAATGATTCATAAATCTTTTATATAAATATAAGTATTCATAGTGTCATGTAATTAACTTATATGACAAAAATATAAATTTGTGTGCGTAATAACAAAAGTATCTGATCGAGTTTTATCCGTAAATATGGATTTCGATTAAAATTAGTTAGATATAAATGCTAGAATCATGTTTTGTACACATACTGAGTATGTCCTACAATTATTATATGAAATAAACTTAAAATATATAGTTGTAACTGCACTTTTAGATACATAAACTTTAAGGTTTGGCACTACGCATTAATTCAGTAACTTTTCCCTTACCGGGCCTTTTCGCCATATTCTTTATCTAAAATCGCGCAAATGGTACTTTGAAAATATAGTAGAATCATGTTTGTATTTTTGTATCAAATAAACGTTACACTGCTTCCCTTTAATAAAGTTGCTGTGATGCCAGATGATACAACGGCCATTACGATGTCATTTCTTCATCATATATCAGAAAGAAGTAGCGAAATAAGGAATGTTTTGCACCTAATGCATCAAAAAAAAAAAAAAAAAGAATCCCCATTGCTCTGCCTAAACAACCAGCATAATGCGGTCGTCTATACTTTTTTGTTTTCATTTGAACAAAACTATTGTACTCTGTACAACATGTTGCAAGAAATTTGCGTTGATAAAGTACACGATAAAGTTTTTTCACAATTAAAGATAGTAGGCATAGGCATAGTGCCAATAGTTTTAATTACTTCTCATCAAATGAAGGCAATAAAAAACTTTAACTTGGGTTCTACCCAAGCTAGAATACCCTTCACAAATAAAGAAGCTTCCATGCAAGAACTCGATTTTAATCGTTCAGTTTGAATGGCAGCTTTATGCTATATGTAGTTGTTCGTTCCGGAAAATTTTGGAAAATTTCGTCATTGCATTAATTCAAAATTTTGGGAAATTCTCCCCGTATATTTGTACAAGTATAATGATGATAATCACAGTAGACCAGATTGTTTGCTGCTACAATATAATGGGTTCAAACGGTTTAAAAAAAAATAATATAATACATATATGGATAAAACACATGCGAAGTGATAAATTACTTCGCAAAGTGAAGAGAACTTTGTATGTCTGTAATTCTTTCTCTTACAAAAATCGATTTCTTATTCGTATTACCGTCTATTGCTGGCACTTTTATTAATCTACGAGGTTGATCTACTTGTAGTTTTGATGAATCACATCTACTCTAACATTACTTTACTGTCTTTCTTCTTCAAGATACCTTGTCAAATAAAAGAACTTTCCATACAACGAATTGATTTGATATTTCAGTTTGAATGACAGCAAAAAAAATTATGCGCTACGTCTCAGATGGTTTATCCGTTGAGTCCAATTTTCGATGACCCGTTCGAGAATTTCGACTGGTAACTGGCGAATGACACGCGTGTCCAAGGCCTGACTCGATTGTCTGCATAGACTTTAGATATTACATATCCCCACAGGAAAAAGTCTAACGGTGTGATATCGCACGATCTTGATGGCCAATCGAACGGTCCAAAACGTGAAATTATCTACTCACCGAAGTGTTCTCTCAATAAATCCATTGATTAATGCGATTTGTGGAAAGTGGTGCCGTCATGTGAAACCAACTGTCGCCGTGATCACGAGCTTCAGTTTTAGGCATCAAATGGGCAGTTACGATAACGGTCGCCATTGACAGTCTCACTGGCTTAATTTTAAAGAAATATAGACCGATGATTCCACCGGCCTACATACCACACCATGCCGTGGTTTTTCTGGACGAAGTGGCTGCTCTTGAATCTCTTCAGGTTGCTCCTTGTCCGAAATGCCGCAATTTTGCATTACCCAGAAATGGGACTCATCGCTGAACAAAATTTATCTCGAAAATGTCGGATCTTTTTTTAACTTTTCAACACTCCATAGAGCGAAGCGATGTCGCTTGGGAAGGTCGAGCGGCTTCAGTTCTTGCACAAGCTGTATTTTGTACGCTTTCAATTTAAGATCTCGACGTAAAGTGCGCCAAGTTATTCCATGTGTCAGGCCGAAGTGGCTGCGAACGGCTACAGCCGCTATATTTTCTTTATTACGTGCTGGACGTGGTATAGTGGGTCGAATATTATCCAGTAAAGAATGCTGGGTCTCAAAATGGGTGATGGTGTTGCATACGCTGAGTAGGCCGACTATGTTGACCATAAGTTCAGCAAATCGCGCGAAACACATTCTTTACAGGAAGTGAATTTTCGTAATATAGTTGAACAATTTGTGTAAGACTTTTCATGATGAAATGCCGAACAATACTTACAAAAAATAACTTAACAGCTTGACATGACTCACACGTGATCTGTCAAAAAAGGCTATTGAAAAAGGTACTTCTACTTGGATCACCCGTTATAATAAGGCTCCGTAGATCCTTACCTAGCCTTTGTTAGTCGAATTAAATTATATCGCGATATATGGTTGGCTTTATGCAATGCGAATAAATTTCAGCAAAATTAATTCGTTTAGCATAATGTGATTTTATGACAAAATAATTTTGGTATCGTTCCTGGCACTAATACTACAATATTAATGAATATCATATATCTGTTAAGTACGGTAAAACTATAAAAGGACAGTCTTTCTTTCTTTTATGAAATTACTTGTAAATTTAATTTGTTATTTGCAGGTCGAGGTGGCCTAGGCGGCGGCGGTGGAGGTGGTGGAGAAGGTCTTCTTAGCAGTTTAGGTGGTGGTTCAGGTATTGGCGGTGGCAATGGTGTTGGCGGTATGATGGGAGGAGGAGGGGGTAATGGCGGTGGTGGTGGTCTTCATGGGCGATTCCGCAAACAGAAACAGGAAAAGGACAAAAAGCAATTCCAAATGTACATACCAATGTATTTAGCTGCAACCACATTTGGATGGACTATGGTAGCTGCAAAAGCAGTCGGTTTGCTGACGCTCAAAGCATTAGCCGTCTCCAAATTAGCATTTATAGTAGCAGCAATGGTTATTGTTAAAAAGCTTATGGATAATGCCTCGGAAAAGTGAGTATCTTCGCATAATTTTACATATTTGCACAGTGCTTCACACATATTTGGCTATTACTACTTTGCTAAGGTTTACATGAATGTAATTAAATTTCCTTCACTGCAATACAGAATGATGTATCAATTCCCTGAGCACACACCGTACATGATGCCATACAGCATGGATTACGGCATGCACCCCGAAATGGCATCGGGCGGTGAAATGTACCCTGCCGGATTGCAATTAGCCGCAGCCCCCATGCAACACCACGGCGTCGGGCATTCAGGTATCGAAAATCTCGCTGCAGAAAGCAGTTTACATCACAATATTGCTGATATGCAAAACAGTACACAGGTGTTGGCTGCGCTGAATGCGGTACATTTGGGACCGAAAGTAAAGCGCGAGGATTCCTGGTTGGGAAAAAGTGAGTATACTTAGCCTGGCAACCATTAGAGGTCGACCTTGACAATATGTGTATGTTTGCGATTTTCCTACCTTTCGCTTGCATTCAATTACATATCCCAGTTGGCTGGCGAATGCCACTACGCTCCGTTAATAGTCCATTTAAGCGAACATTTCACGGGCATCCGTTTAAGCCAACTCGTTATAATGAATTATTGATGCGCAACCAGAATTGGCGCCGACGCAATGACGAACAAATAGCTGTAAAAGTGGCTTTGGCTGCAGCAGCGGCCACAAATGAAGAAGAAGAACAGAATGAGTTGGAATTAGGCGAAGACGATATATTCAATGAGGAGGAGAATATTAAAGATACGTTCGAGTTTTTGGGCATGCAACTGAATAAGAAATCAGGAAGTGTTCATAACCTTTCATATAGTTAACTAGCCAAACTTGCATATGTATGTATATACGTGTGTATGGTATATATTTTACAATCGGTCAAGGAAGAAGATAAATTTAAGTTAGAATAATAAACAGGCTTTTCCATAAACTTTGTACTTTATTTTGCATATCTTGGCTCATTTTGGTGCAAGGCGGTGTTGGGTTGAGTGGAGCTGAAATTCATAAGTTAGGGATGGCACAATACTTGTATATTTAGTATTAGACAATTTATCTTAACCTGACCTAGAATACTATTAGTAAAACCAAGTAAAAATTAACTCCGGAGCCACAAGACAGCAATGGCGTTTATGTATGTATATCTACAAAATGCATCTTGTTACATCTATATATCCTCGCGTGGAATCTTGTCTCAATCCGCATGTATGCGGTTTCAGAGATGGAAGGTTTTGTGTTCTAGCCAACTGTTTTTTCAGGAGAACCCATAAATTTTCGTTAGATAATACCTCCCGCATCCTTGAGGCAGCAGACGTGTTGTGATTGTGACGGACCACGAGAGCTAATATTGTGTCTTTTTTAAACTTGCAAAGGGATCGGTGACCAAACATAAGTGTTTTGGCAATATCCCGTGCCGATTTGTTGTTTTTAGTCATTAAATATAAATGTTAGAAAATAATACTCCAAGTTTGTTGCCAGGGAAATAACTCTGCTAGGCCTATTAACTAAGGAACTGTTGCACTATATTGCGTTAATTCATGTAACAATTTCACCAATTTTCGGTACCAAACTACAATATAGCCAACTTTTCCTCACCGACACTTATTTTCAGTGTTTGGGGAAAAACGCGTTTAGGTAAAGTTTTGAGCAACCGAAACCATTTGCCGAATCAACTTCAAATTTTTGGAGGATATTTTCAAATGTATGTACATTTGATATATAAGCGACAGTTTTATATGTTAATTTATAAGTCAGCTAAAGCTCGTTTTCATTTTTCTTTAATGGACAGACAGAAATACGGATATCAAACCTTCTCGTCACCCACATATATCTTGTTTAGTTTTGGGCGATAGAAACAACCTTTAGGTGAAAAACACTATTATATTCTGTGGCAAAAGGTTCCGAGTTCATTTTATATTTCTGACCATTTACGGCAATCTATCCCAGATTCTGTTATTATTTTGTGATGATATTTCGTAACTATGCAGACATGTTCATTTTCTTATAGAAAGATCGCACTTCACAGGGTTGCATTTGGCTTTTAATATTTGTGAATTAATTGGACAAGTAATGTATTTCGCCATTATCTGGTAAATTGCAAATAATTAGGTTTTAACTTGCTCTTGATCAATCAGTAATGTTTTTGAATATTATGTTAAACTTTATAATATCAGTAGTACCCGAGACGACGTCCATTAACCGGAGAACAATTACAGTAATCCACTGCCCACTATAATAGCTCAAGTTTATACTACTTATGTATGTATGTGCAACTAAATTTAGTTTCGTTAGTTTATAAAACCTTACAACAATCAATATCCACTCCCACCATTATTTAATTGGTTTATAGAGATGCTAAAAATAATGGGCACAAAAGCCGGAGAAGTATTTAGGTTCAGAAAATTATTATGAAAACGAGTAAGGAAGGGATAAATTCGGGTGTAAAAAACATTTCATACTCTTGCAACTTGCAAGGATCAAAGTCGGCTAAATACCTTGAGAGGTGATATAAAAAAAAAAATGCGAAAGGGATAAACTTAATTATTCGACGAAATCCTGAATGTACTAAAGTCAAATTTGCTATCATATTAACTTATCTTCAAGGTCATAGGGTATATTATTATCAAACAAACATTTTCCCCGAGTTTCAGTTATATATGTCACAGTTTTAGCGATATATTTGGCGAAAAATCAGCTTTCGACTCGGAGGTCCTTATATCCGGTATCTGGGGGCTTGATTAGTTAGGGTTCGATTTGGAAATTTTTGGACCTGTGATGGCATACCTGAAAAGAAAAATTCGTGCAAATTTGTATCCCGATATATTAATTAGTGCTTGATTTGTACTAATACTAAAAAGTGAAAAAATCAGATGGAATATTAAAATGTGTTATATGGGATGCAGGCGTGGTTACCGTCTGATTTCGCACACTATGAGATGAAATTGGTTGAGTAGATTCGGATATACGTGAGATCACCTAAATGTGGCGATGCCATGCCCATTGTCCAATTTTGACCTCTGCTCCTATAAAGCCCTTTTTTGTCTTCTCAAATGTAAAACTGAATGTCTCTGACGCATTTCGTTATTGATTTATCTTAGTTTTAGTAATTTTTAACAAAATCATTATGGGAGGAGTGGGCGTGATTATTAGCTGATTTCACCCGCTGTCGCTATAGGAGTCAGAATGATATTTCTTGTGCAAATCACATTAAGCCTAATAGGGTGCGAAGCCAGTTTTAAAAAATTGTTCAATCACAGGTCCCCCTCATTATTGCGATTCGTTGTACACAAATAACGGTCTTGTATCTTAATTTGCGGCTTAGTTATGGCAATTTATAGATTTTCGATTAATGGCGTTGGATGGTCCGATTCCGTTCATCTACGAACTTGTCCTCACTTTTTTTGCCAAGGAATACGAGTATCAAGTTTCATTAAGATATCTCAATTTTTACTCAAGTTATTGCTTGCACGGACGAACAGATTTCGGATTTCAACTCGTCTATATATAACACCGTTAGGTGAACAAACTATTATACTCTGTAGCAATTTGTTGAAAGAGTACAAAAATAAATTCACTTCGCTTTACCTTTTACTTTATCCATATATATGTACATATGTATATATGTACATATGTATATATGTTCTTTCGACAAATTTATTTTTCATTATTGAAATTTTATTCGAGAGTATACATATGTATGAAATATATAGTAAGGGCCTTCGGAAAACCGTTTCAGACTCTTATTAGGATAATTTCCTTACCCTTTTCGGTAGTATACCTATATTGGTTTAAGTAAAGAGTTGAAATCTGTGCATACACAAAGGAAATTGATTTCATTATCATCATTCTATTCAGAAAAATCCAATATTTGTTATTCAAAGTTGAAAGCAGTGAAATCCCTTTCAGCCTTTCAAACATATCGCTTTCAGGGTAACGTAGAAAGCAAAAACTTATAATTATTTTTAATTCATCAAAGCTTTGTGATGTGATTGGGATCTTACATTTCTTAAGGCAACTATGGTATATATATAACTATCTAAACTATAAATCTGTAAATTTAACCGGTCACCCCTTTGCATCTAACGGAAAACGTTTTGCTGGCTCTTTTCAGTCACATTGCTTGATACGAAGGTCTTTCTCTTGATTTTCAATCAGTTTGAATGGCAGATATAAGTATGCTATAGAGGTCGGATTTCGGCGGACGTGTGCAAAATGTCAGAACGATACCTCAAAATCTGAGGGATAACTTCGCGTATATACAGACGGAGATTGGTGAAAATTTATATATATATTTAGAGTTTCAGCCGTTTCTATTTTGAATTAAAACCGAAAAAAGTCAGTAAGCTTTATATATGTTGAAATTTCTACTTACTGATGGTATAAAATATATATACATTGCATTTACATTATATTGTACTACCCTCAGTTTTCGAGATATCGACCTTAAATTTTGCACACGTCCTTTTCTCACCAATTTGCTCATTTGTCAGAGCCGCATATAGCTTCCATACAAATTGAACGATCGCATCAAGTCTTTGTATGGAAAACTTTATTTTTTGACCTTCTCTTAATGAAATTTGCCATCGCTACAATCTCAAAAGAAATTGTTCAGGTCGGAACACTCTAGCCTATATGTACATATGTAGCTGCCATACACACTGATCGATCAAACTCAAGGCTTTGGATGAAAAACCTGTTTATTTGTTATTGTATTTATAAGATTTCTTTACGAAAATCGGCATATATGATTATCTAAAGTATCGCTACAATTTCCGAAGTAATTGTTCAGATCGAACCATTATAGCATATAGTTGCCTTTTACACTGACCAATCAAAATCAAGATACTTTTCTTTTTATACCCTTTTACGCCATAAAAAATACGTATTATACTTGTAGCTTCGATGCAGCCGAATTTAACGTTTTTTCTTGTTTGATATAGAGTTTTGTAACACCTCAAAGCCCCGGCTTTGATCTTTGCAGATTAGGAGAGTTTAAAATGTGCGGTTACACCCGGATTTAATTCTTTCTTACTTTCTAACTCGTAACGTAACCTAAACGATAAACATACTATATTTGAAAGAACATTTTACTATTTTTCATTCAGGGTTGATTGATACAAATAAAAATTCAAGCAGTCTTTTTGGTTTAACAAAATCATGAACTCTGTCCTACTAGTAGTAAGACCACTAATGGTAAAAGATAAACATATTTTATTGTTTACTGCCTGCTAAAATGGAAATTAATTTTATTCTCTGAAACTAACTTTGGTTTACTAATCTGGATTTATTGACTATATTCGACCGGCAGGCGCCTATCAAAAAGTTCTAAATATAAGCATTATTAAATTAGCGTATAATTTATTAAAAATATACATCAAAGCAAAATATATTGAAATTGATATTTTGTTTTTGATATTTCGAATTCTGTTTCAGCTGCTGCAGTGGGAATTGGTGTTAGGCGGCCACTAGTTTACAATTACCTGCAACCACACCACCCATATTACCGCGCATAACAACAACGATCTGATGACTGACTCACGCCACTCTTAAGAAATGTGCAACTCCCTTTTGATATGTTTTATTCATATTGTAATTACAAGTTATATTTGTAATTTATTTACCGTAGATTTTTAAAGCAATCATACAAAAATGTGCTGAAAATACAAAAAAAAAAAATCGTTATATATAAATACGTATGTGTTATGGATGCGTCCTTCTCAACGATTTAAACTAAATGTTAATGCAGAAAACTGTTAGACACACATACGTCATAAATTAATTCTTATTATATTTTAGAGCAAGTTTAACTAAATAAATGCAGCTTAGCAAGAAATGCTACAAAATCTAATAAAATATAATATTGATAAGATTAGCCGTACATTGAAACACCATAAACGAAATCTAGAAATAAGTAGGATAAGTAATCTGCCCTGTTGCCAGTTCCATGGAAGAAATATATTTATAAATCCTTAAAACAGATTACGTGTTTATATTTGTTGATATTTATGACATCGATTTCTTACCTTGGAGTTGTTTAACCTCTTCGATTTGTCATTTGTTTACAAGGTTTAAGAATAACTAAAAAGGTAAACAATAAAGCGATGTTGAAAGCTACATTCGTTTTATTTTAATAAATTATTGTACAATAAATAATAAAATAAATATTACCTTACGAAAATAAAAATATTATTATACAATTTTTCTCTCTTACATAAAACAATAGTTGGGTTAAGTAGTTAAATAACGGGTTGCGAATAACATACATATATAAATTCGAAAAAAAAATTAATAGAATAAAACAGTTAGATGGTTAGCAGCACCGTTCCATATTATTATTTTCCATTTATTCCATGAAAATAAAATATTTTGTTGGTAAAATAAATATTTAATAGATATCTTTTATTAATAGCACGAATAAAAGTATATATTATTAATTTGTTTGCTTTCGTAGTGTTACGCAAGATAACCGACTGAACTTACTCGTCTGTAGTTATTAGCTTTGGATTTTTACATTTTATTGCAGTTTTTCTGCAGCTGCTTGTCAATTAATATTTTTTAAGCCTTTTTATTTTATTTTTTGTTTGGTTGTGCCTTACCTTCTGTCATTAAATATTCCTATTCGTTTTTAATGAGTACTCTTATATATCTGTTCATAAATAATCGTTTGTACCATATAATTTATGTATTGACTATCTAGCTTGTGCCTAATGCACTTCCTCTGTTGGCATTTGTCCACTGTATGCCATATCCTGCGCTTCCTGTGCCATTATTTGCGCCGGCACTTCGGCCATGCCCTCTATGAAGCCGTTCAAAGCTCTCGCCCAACCCGAACTGTATGTATCGTGATGCGGTACTTCAACGATATGCTTCTTTTGGGACAGTAATTTCTTCAATGCGATTATCACCGACAGCAGCAGTGCAATCTTGGAGACAATTAACGCTTTGCCCGCCAGCAGGAATAAACCTTTGAGCATTATAGCGCCCACCATGCCCGCCTTGGCCATCATTATCATCAACATTGGGCCCATATTTTTCATCTTGCCACGTCCTTCTTCGAACGTTTCAACCGGACTCACAGATACGCCAAAGTTTAAATTGCCTTTGGGTTCGGTGGTGAGCACGAAGTCTGCATTGTCGGAAAATTTATATCGCAGCGTACGTGAGCGTATGAATTTCCAAATTTTTCCGGCCATCAGCAGACCTAGCGTCTCATCATCTGATTCAATGGAACGAGCTAACATTAAATCATCATCGGGGTCATCCGGTATGGAGTCGATATCTCTGCAAAAGAGAAATTCGAAATAAATTTTAAATAGTGTTGTTGTTATTTTTATGTGTGTCAACGGCAGTGTATTATTTTGATGTGCTTTTATGGCTTTCGATTACGACACTTATTCACTAAAATAATTTCGCGTAGACAACTTCGGGACAAATCTACCTATTGCTTACCTATTTTGGGAAACCCTTAGATTATCATTAATATCGATTGAAGACTTTTTAAATATTCGATTCATGTACACAATCAATTTGAGCATCATACACGAATGATTATCCCTTTGGCTGCATTTAATGTTCAGTTTACGCAGGAATCCCTCTTCCAGTTGATTACGATTCACTATGGGAATCTGTTGGCGAATTAAATAAAGTGATATATAAATATGTATTAAAAGTTATTAATACTATAATTTAACAAGTAAGGAAGGCCTAAGTTCGGATGTAACCGAACATTTTATACTCTCGCAAAGTCAAATGGTATACTCGTTTTAGATTTCTTTGTGGATTGGCTGATATTTTCGGTAGAAGGTTAACTATAGGCACTGGGGTCCACATATAATATTTAGTACCTAGGGGCTTGAACAGGTTTGGTTCGATTTAGACAATTTTTGGTCACAAGGTGGCATACATTAAACGTACTATTCACGCAAAGTTTTATCCCGATATAATCATTGTTGCTTGATATGCATAGTGGAAAGTGAAAGAATCAGATGGAATTTAAAATGGTGTTATATGGGAAGTAGGCGTGGTTGTAGTCCGATTTCGCCCATTCGCACTATAACATAGAAATATAAGAGGAATGTTACGCACCGAATTTGGTTGAAATCGGTTAAGCAGATCCCAAGATATGGGTTTTACCTAAAAGTGGGCTATGCCACGCCCACTGTCTAATTTTGAACGCGGTTCTTATAAAGTAATCTCATACCATCCCAGAGATAAAATTTAATGTCTCTGGCGTGTTTAGTGCTTGATTTATCGCGCTTTTAGTAGTAACAGTACCGTTATATGGGGAGTGGGCGGAGTTGCCACCCGATTTCAACTGTTTTCACACTGTAGGTAGAAGTTCTAAAAACCTTTGCTACCAGTGAATTTTGTTATTATACCATTAGCGATTTAGGAGATATGCACATTTAACCTATTAGAGGCGGGACCACGCCCACTTTTTAAAAAAAGTTCTAACTGCAGATGCCCCTCCCTAATGTAATCCTGTGTACCAAATAACAGTCTTGTATCTTATTGCGGAGCTTAGTTATGGCAAGTTATTTGGTTTTGATTAATGGCGTTTTGTGGGCGTGGCAGTGGTTCGATTACGCCCATATGCAATAACAACCGTCTCACGGTACCAAGAAACATGTCTACCAAGTTTCATAAAGATATCTCAATTTTTACTCAAGTTAGAGATTGCACAGTCGGACGGACGGACGGACAGACAGTCTGAATACTTGTGAATTCTGAATTAAAACAAATATGAAATATTTTTATACTCTCAACCTGTTGCTACAGAGTATAATAGTTTTGTTCACCTAACGGTTGTTTGTATCACCTAAAACTAATCGAGTTAGATATAGGGTTATATATATATAAATGATCAGGCTGAAGAGACGAGTTGAAATCCGGGTGACTGTCTGTCCGTCCGTCCGTCCGTCCGTCTGTCCGACCGTGCAAGCTCTAACTTGAGTAAGAATTGAGATATCTTTATGAAACTTGGTAGACATGTTTCTTGGTACCGTGAGACGGTTGTTATTGCATATGGGCGTAATCGAACCACTGCCACGCCCACAAAACGCCATTAATCAAAACCAAATAACTTGCCATAACTAAGCTCCGCAATAAGATACAAGACTGTTATTTGGTACACAGGATTACATTAGGGAGGGGCATCTGCAGTTAGAACTTTTTTTAAAAAGTGGGCGTGGTCCCGCCTCTAATAGGTTTAATGTGCATATCTCCTAAACCGCTAATGGTATAATAACAAAATTCACTGGTAGCAAAGGCTTTTTGAACTTCTACCTACAGTGTGAAAACAGTTGAAATTGGGTGGCAACTCCGCCCACTCCCCATATAACGGTACTGTTAAAAACTACTAAAAGCGCGATAAATCAAGCACTAAACACGCCAGAGACATTAAATTTTATCTCTGAGATGGTATAAATTGGCTTTACAGGAATCGCGTTCAAAATTAGTCAGTGGGCGTGGCACAGTTTTTTCCCACCAATTTTATTTCATTCTTTGTACTCCTCTTTCTTTTTGTACTACATAATAAAGAATCTCTGCAGGATTGCTCCGAGCAGATTATTACATAAACTTCTGCTCCTCTAACACATATGTGTTAATATATATATAGATCAATTTCGAGTTTATTACATAGAACAAGTTCTGAAATTAACTTTGCGTTACAGTGGTTATAATTGTTTGTGATCTATCAGTTGACTTTGTATTATAAAGTTGACACCATATATGGTATGTACTTATATAAATCGAGAACTGGGGAAAATATCTGAATGAGTGATATGAATCCATATCTTTCGCTAGCTTTAATTCGATACATACTTTTTGTATTCATTAGGGAATTTAAAATCCATAATTCGGGCTTAAGTAAGATATTTAAAAGAAACCACTTATAAGTGGTACTCATAAGACCTAAATTCAATACATTCGCCTATAAATTCGAATAGTCTTAATTCTAAAAATAATATGCCACAAATTTGTAGATTAACTAAATATTTCACTTTTAATCTTTGCAAACTACACAGAGATTAATATATTAATAGCTAGAGACAAAATTTGTATTATCTCACGACTATCACTATATGATTTAAACCACTTTCACGCCATATAAAGCAGATATTCAAAAACCTTTACCGCAAAACACTTTCAACACAACCGTACCAGTCCGTGTATATCTTATAACGGGTTCAAATCTGGCAGAATGAATGCCCATTGCCGTTCTATTCACTGGGCACATTGTTTCCGCTGTACAGCGATACCAACACTTTAATTTGTATACCTTGAACAGGATATATTAAGTTTGCCACGAAGTTTGTAACACCTAGAACAAAACATCGGAGATCCTATGAAATATATATAATAAATAAATGAACAGGCATGACGAGCTGAGTTGATTTAGGCAAATCCGTCTGTCCGCCTGTATATACGCGAACTAGTCTTTCAGTTTTTGACACATCGGTCTGAAATTTCGTACACGTTCTGTTTTCCCCAAGAAGCTGCTCATTTGTCGGAACCGCCGATGTCAAACCACTATAGCATATATCTGGCGTAAAAACTGAACGATCAGAATATTGTAAGACATATTTTTATTTGTGAAGATTATTATAGCTTTGGTGCAACCAAAGTTAACGTTTTATCTTGTTGGAAATAATTTCAATATTTTTATTTCCCAAAGTATCCCCAGCCTCATCACAGTGTGACGATTGTATGATTATATATGATCTGTTAATTAGCAAATGAAGTAACTTTTTTTTATAAATAACTCAGCTCCACAAAAACAAAACTTTTTTTGTTGCGCTGAATATCCTGCGCACCTTTACATACAAACATCAGCACTGCCAAGATCCTAACCGAAACTATGCAAAAAAATGATGCGGAAAGTTTTAAGGTTTTACTAAAAGTCAGACCTGTTTTGCTCAATGAAAACTTCGCTTTAGTTTCAAAAGTAATTCGCATGGACTACTCAGAAACAAAGATGTCGCTAAACACTCAGATATGGGGATGGAATAAGAGGGATAAACATCTACAACAAAGTTATGTATATCCTCAAAATCAACTCAGTGGTTCAATACGTGATCTACTTGTAGTTAGGAATGATAAAACAATTTGTTAAAGCGTTGGACGTGGAAGTATTATATAAGAAATAATAAATAAATATTTTATTTAGTTTATTTTTTTTTTAAATTTTTAGTGTAAAATTAAAATAAAGATTTAAAAACAAACGAGAGCAAATCTTGCAAACTTATTGATAGTTTCATGAACTGTGGGCACAAATATATCCAAAATCGATCTTATATTTAGAGAAACAAAACAACTTTAGACCAGTGTAACTCTACGACAAAGATAATTAACTTTTTTATATGACAAGATATCCTATATAGGATATTGTCCAAGCTACAATATCCGAACAAATTTTTAAGATCGGACAACTATGGCATATATATAACCGATCGATCAAACTCAAGTTAAGGATGGTCATAAAAGATCTTCTTCCGTATTTAATAACCTTAATTCGACTTGAGTAGTTTATATCAAACAAGAAGGAATAAGTAAATGATTTTCAATTGGATACCAACCGTTGGCTGGTTATGTTTTCAGATTTAGTAATTCAAATAGTTGCTATAAGAAATTCACTTGTGAAGGGTATTATATCTTCGGTGCTGCTGAAGTTAACGTTCTTTCTTATTTTAGATTATATTGTTCGCATTGCTAAATCATGGGGATTCATTTTAATTACTTAAATTCAGTTAATAATTCTATTACAAATTATTATTGACTTTAAGTGTAATTCTGAAATCTTCGGACGAAGCCTGCCAAACGCAGACGGAAATGTCGAATACCTCTAAAACATATATATGTATATAAATTTTCAGCGTGACGAGCTGAGTTGATTTAGCAATGTCCTTCTGTTGGTAGCTAGTGTTATCGCTCTGAAATTTTGCACAAATCCTTTCCTCACCAAGAAGCTGTTTCTAAAACATTCCTACAATATCTGAATATATATATCCTGTGAAGGCTATTCTAGCTTCGGTGCAACCGATGCTAACGTTTTGTCATGTTATGAGGTCACTTAGTAAAACTTTATAATTACCGCATTTTCACTGGAACTGATGGCGGGAGTAGCACGCACAGTAACGATGGCAAGAAGTGATATTACACCAAACGATATTAGCGCTTTCATTTTGCACTGGTTTCAAAGAGTTTTAACCGCTTCGATTATAGGGTCTATTGAAGCGTGTATTCAGCGGCACAATACACTTTTCTTTGGAATATTCTGTAGTTTTCAATGCTATCTAGCTCACTGTTCCCGACTTGACGCACACACACACTCAAATACACCAGGTTACTGCACTTTAACCGCTACATGTGTGTTTAATTTGACAGGATAACAAGCGCATGCGTTGCAGGATACGCGCTTTTAATCCTTTAGCTTTTAGTCCTTTTAATGGTTGGGCTTAAATTTGCACACTTGCACCTCAAAAGATTTTGCTATTTTATTTACAAATCACATTGACACTGCACGAACGGTTAGAATGCGATGACATCGTCGTGATATCAGAAGACCTAATGCGAATTTCATGCCCGTGATTAAGATTTTATATGCACTACTAACGTACAGGCGGCAAGCGGCAAGCGACTATCCGTGTGGCTTCTTCGGGGCAGCTTGAATTGCTGCGCTTTGCAGCTAACCTGACTGGCGCTGCTGCTGCTAAGCTGAGCGGGATCAGGCTGCTTGTTGTAGTTGTTAGAAAACCCGATCGGCGGCTTAGTTGTAGAATCCCAGTTAGTTAAATGAATGAGTGATATGCCAAAAGAAGCAAGTCGACAGTATGTTGCAAGCAAAATAACAACGGGTTCAAATTTGAAAAAAAAGAACAACAATAAATGCAACAACTTGTTTTTCAAGTGCAAGAAATAAGATGCAACAGCCACTACTGCGCGCAACACAGCCTTTACCAAAGTCATTGTTGTTGTTGTTTGTGTGTCCCGCACATTGCAACTTGCAGCAAATAAATCAAAAGCAAGGCAGCAAATTGCTGGAGTAGACTTTGGTTTTATAAACTTTAGTTTATTGTTGTTAATCTAATAACATTGCACTTAAATAGTTGCACACATACATGTACAGATGCGGTTAGTCGCTTCTACTTGGCCGACGTCTTTGACCAAGTTAGGCGGAGAACGACATCTTCCTAGCACTTGCCACTAGCATAACGTGCGCCACACTTTCCACCTTACCGATGCCCATAAGTATATACATACATATATGCGTAGAGCTATATCAAAGCAGGCAGCACTTCTAACATTCAGGAAACCTAATTCCCAACACTGATTTCCATAGTGAAAATTGAAATTTTCTTTAATGTCGTTGGTTGCAGTTCAGCGTCATTACTCACATACTCGCGCATACGCAGGCATAATTATGCTTGTGGTTAAACCACACACCAGAAGATACCTTATTTACGATTTTCACTTTATTACTGCAGGTCGACGGCGGTGCGCGTCTGTAAATAAATATTTGCGCTTCTGTCTTTTTTGTTTACAGTGCAAATTGCCATCACAGAAAGTGCAACACTTTCCAGTGTGGGAAAATCTCTTGAGACTTTTTTTCATCTTTCTACATAATTCGCAGTTCACAATTAATTGTTTGCGCGTTGAAATTTGTGATTCACACATTCTTTAACTACTCGTCTGCAGTCAAATCACCCAGTTATAGACCTCTTTACATATGTACATAAGCCCAACTTGTCAGCTTTCGGTTTCGGTTAATGTCTGATGCTTTTTTGACCAGATCAGAGAATTCTTATTGTAGACTGGTATGTTTCCTTACTGATATGATATTTCAATGAAGGGTTCTTACATTTGCAAATACACAAGTATCATTTCAGATATGTTTATAACAATCCAATTAATTTAAAGTTTACGAGGGTTACTTGTTTTTATCAGTAGAGTTTTGAACATGAACATCTTCTGACAAAACCAATCTTCCTATGATATAGATATACTTGTACATACCATATTTATATAATATATATATTTCATGGTGTAGAATTTGTCGGAAACTGCATCCATTTTCAAACATGAAAGCTATAAGTATCTCACATTTTATTATGCCAGAAAGATGGTGCCAAATACATTTTGTCAAATAAGCTGTAAATCAAATGAAACCAACAAACAAATAAGTGCCCTTTGAATAATATCTTCTAGTATAGTTACGAGCGATAAAATATATGCATCCATGATTTCCGAAGATGGCTTTCTAAACACTCTAAAATCATACTGGGAGCAACCAATGTAATTTCGTAAGCTCATTATAGTGGCCGCTAAGGTTAGACGTGTTTTTAGCCTCGCGATTTTCGTTTGTTAAAAAAAAAATTGGTCAAAGAATTTGTTCGTAAATTCTTGGCCAAAACAATACTGTAACGATGTGCCAGTCTCCATATTGGTCAGACATGAGTTCGTGTGACTTTTTCCTTTTTCTAAAAATAAAGAGAACTTTAAAATGACGTCGTTTCATAAGATAGATGAAAATCGCTGAAAGAGCTAAAGGCTATCCCAAAAACCGAGTTTGAGAAGTGTTTCGACGATTGGAATCAGCGTTGGCATAAGTACATAATATAGAATGGCGAAACTATTTTAAAGGCGACAACATTAATATATTTTTTTCAAAAAACCAAAATTCCCGTTATTTATTGAACACACGTCATTACAGCAGTATGTGGTATGCAAATTACTACTTATCTACCGTAGTTTCGAAATAACTTATACTTACTTCACAAACATCAAACCTCCCCAAAAAATAATAAACGTAACCGGATAACCGGAAAATTTTTTTTTTAGTAAATTTACCACACAACGGAAAAACGAATTTGAGAAAAACTCCGGCAACATAATGCAAGATATTTTGCTTCTAAATGTAAGAAAGAAAGTTAAGACACAGTCATGTGAACCATATATTGTCTTCTATTACATGTATATTCCACAACTGACTTGCACAAGAGCAGAAATACCAATGCTATTAAATGTGCTAAATAATCTTCGTCCGAAAACTGGGTTAACTTGCAAAGAAGAATGCAATAAGGAAATTATCAAGTCTAGAATAAGAACTTGATCATTACAATTTGGAGAAGCAGCCGAGAAAAACTGGTTGAATAAAAACTGAAAGGATTAATCATTAGCACAACGGCACGTAAACCCGCCATCACACCTCCTTTCAGCGCAGGAATGCGGGCATGAAGAGCACAAGTGCCTTTTTATTGAACCTGCAATTAATATATGTTTGTATAGAAAATCATAAAGTTCAATAAAAGCAGTTGGCGAAGACAGAAATAGCAGTGACTGTTTCACACAATGGACAAGCGCACAACTCACCAATCTACTAACAGACTGACTGACATATTGACTCGCTGATAAGTTGCACAGCTGCGCGGCCATTTGAGCATTCGCTATATTCATGTAAGCACACAATGCCATGTTTGGAGCTGTGGCAAATACGGTTAATGTTGCATTGTAGCAATTTCACTGTATATCTCTAATCGGCATTTGACCAGCAAACCCGCTACCTCGCCATCTATTGTAGTTGGCTAAGCAACTAAACCACGCGCCACCTTGTGAGCTAGTGCCGCTGTCAGCGCATAAACACCATCCACCAGCCGCCAGCAATTGTTGTAAGCAGCTTTCTTTTGAGAAATGTTGCTTGGATGCAACAACAATATGGTCATGACCATGGCGGCCGCTAGTGGCATGCCACTTGTGTTTTCGTACAATATGTAAGCGCAAGTGTGTGCTTAGTGGTGCGCCGTTAAGTGCCTTTAATGGTAAACATTGAACGCTTTATGGCATTAAGTTTTCACGCGAGGCAGACTCATGGCAACAATAATAACCGTGGGGGTTGGAAATCGATTTCTGCTAAAGATTCAGTCGTTACCACTTCCCAAGCTTTGTTGAAATATTTTAGTTGGTTGTTTAGGCAATCATCATGCTTTGAAATGGCATGAGTTTTGCAGATTAATAGTGAAACTGATTACAAAAACATATACAAATTATCAACAGTTTTTTTGCTTAGAATATACATTACTCACATACTCAACGAATATAATACATCCAGTTCTTTTTCTCAAAATATATGGCTGTTCATTCGCGGTCGAAGGTGCTATATTTGCGTTAGACATCTGTGAGATTCTATGAGTAAAAACCCTTTTTCTTTCACGATATGATGAAAAACGGCTCCTCGTTGTAATTTGATAAATTTTAATGGGTAAGCCGTTAGCAGCGGACAATTGGGTAGCTGTTGTACGCAAGTCGTAACTTTTGAAAATTAATGGCAGGAAAGAGATGTTTGTTCCTGTCTTAGTCAAAAAGCGTTTCTTTGTATTTTTGTCTGCAACTTGTGCGATTCATTTCTGCGTAAGAAATTACCATCATCTCTGTTTGTCAAGAATAACGGCATTTGCGGTTCATTGTTTTCGACAGCAATTTGTTGATACCAACACTCTTCTCGACTATTGGATTAACTTCGTATGTATGATCGGTCATTTTGTGTTAATGTTATTGCATGCGTTTATGAACGTGAATACAATTTTTTGAAGGAATTGCTGAGTTCCAATTCAGCTGCACGAACTTGAACTTCGCAATAAGAGCTACTAATTTGACTTTATTGGTATTCAACACGAGGACAATTGTATATCCTTTTACTGAGAATTCGGAAGGACTGCCAGGTGATGCAGCGAAAATAGGTTATGCAATTCCGGAACGTTCTCGCAAGCAAGCGGTAGCGCGTCTCATCTCAATGGCAATGTCATCATTCTCAAATGGAAGCTAAGGGAAGTCGATATCTACCGCTCACGTAGAAAAAATGCAAACGATGAAAGTTTCTACATGGATGACCTTATGACTTATTTGGTGAAAACTTAAAATAAACAAAAAGGGGTGTTCTCTCCAAACTTACACAAATATTAGACCCATTGGGCTAGCTTTCATCTATAAGTACAGTCGCAAGCTTTGAACTTTTCAATCCAGCTTGGTCTGCAGAAAGCCTGCAAAAGAAACGTACTTTATAGGAAGCTTAATCCTGAGTCGCTCTAGAATTTACGTTTTGAAGAACGTGTAGCAGTCACTTGATGGTAATGCGTTGATTGCATCCCTAAGCTGTGCCTTTAGTTTGATTGCAGATAGAACTGTAGCGGCTTTTTTTATCCAATATGATTCCACTTGCTATACATTAGAAATTCATCGTTGTAAACAACGCTTGGATAGCTGCATTTGGACATCTGCTGTCGTTCATAACCCCCAAACCTTATACGCGTGATTTTTTGTTTACGGGGTCACCAGTTTTTAGTGATTGGTAGTAGAGGGAATGATTACCGATTTTTATGGCACAATTAAAATTTAACTTCAGTTAATTTTACAAAATGTTTAAATTTATTTATATATACATATATGTATATATAGAGTTAATGTAATAAGTTGAAATAAAATAAAACACAATAGACAAATGGATAAAGAGCGTGGTGCCGACCGTGTGACCAATTTTAAATTTGATACATGACATTATAATTATATCCACTAGCCCTATAATAAATAATATATAGACTTTTGAACGTTGGGCCGACTTTATACCATACCTCAACCATCAATCTGTGAGGAATCTTATTGAAAATCAGAGAACACCTTTATCTGATAATAGTATGTCCTGATGCCAAAAATTGTTAAAATCGGGTCAATACTACCACTAGACAACATGTACCTTATATAAGACATTAAAACTACGGTTTGGCTTTATATGGTTAATACGTCAGATATCTGGATATATAAGAATATAGTTAAAAGCCAAAAATGTGTGAAGTTGGCCAGGGAATTACCCCCATACCGGCAAATTACCTACCATATAGTACAAATATTGATTTTCGTTATTCCAGCTGACTTTGTACCTAATATATCTGTAATTTGGCGACAACAGAGGGCTTAGATTTTTTCTACAATAATAAAATCTAAATAAGTAAAATTGGCGATTTGTGGTTTTTCGGTCCAAATATTTTCCTACTCCTCAATAAAACGATTTTCGTTTTTCCAATTGAGTTTATACCCTATACATGTATCGGCCAGTATGAAAGTATTTTAATAACATAATCTTAAGCAAAGATAATATTTCAATCATCTAATTCCATCATTTTTACACTGTCCCATTAGCTGAAAATAAATATATATACAAAATGTCTTGCCTTTGCCCGTTGAGAGTTTCTGATCTTCAAAACATATCTTAACTTATAAAGTGAAGTAGCACAGAAAATGTAATCATTGAAACGGAAATGAAATTAATAGAAAAAGTTTCACATTAATCTCCAACATTGGTAGTGAAAAACTTTCAAAGGAGGATATTGAAATTAATTCAATTGAAAATGAAAATATACACATATGTATGTAGGTACTTTGTACTACCTAGAGCTTGAAACAAAACCAAAGCGAATAGGAGGAAAACTCCTTTAAAAAAAATTGTACTTAAATCATGTAATATGGATGTCAGTACATATACTCGATTGAATGACTATGTTGACAGGATGCCTTTTGGTTGTTGTAAATGATTTGTGTTACAAATTGAAGCTATTCACATACTAACCATATAAAAACGTAGGTAAGTGGGAACGTCATAAGAGGAAAACCTATTGGAAACTCTTCTCTTCTCTTAATACAATATTTCTAAGGTAAGGATATTCCATCGCTGTTATTGTTGTTGTATTTGTTTGGCTGACTTTTTTTTATCGCTTTTTTTATTACATTAGAATATTAGAAAATTATGGTGGGTAAATAAAACCTTTCTTTTCGCTTGGTCCTCTGAAAAATAGGTGTTTAGACACCTTTTAGAAAGTTGCCTGTTTTACAATAATGGTTTCTTATAATTTCTATTTTTGAGTCACCCTAATAGTAGAAACTGAAGGAAAACTTCAAACCATCCAAACCAAATTTTCCCACCAGGCTGCATACGTGAAACAACAGCCGATTACTGAAACCCATTAAAGTTAAAACAACATAGCATTAAATGGTAATTCAATTTATGAAAATAGTTTATAATTTATTTATATAAAATACATTCAATACATATGTATAGGTATAATAAATAATTTAGCTAGGACAATGGATGAGAGCCCAACACTAAAGTTACGTAGTGATTGAGCAACTAAAATATTTACAAATCAACTGTCGATGAAACCACGCAAACCACGCACTGGCATATAACAAAATCACTGCAAACAACAAAAACTTAACTCATAGAAGAAAACATAAACATGAGCATAACTTCAAAGAGTGATGTCACTGGGATGGCAAAGGGATATGGCTGCACTCGGCCGACTTTCGTCGCAGTCTAACTCTTCTGCTCACTCTGTATATCCTTGCCAGTGTTGCGGCCATAATATCCCGAGTAGGCGGCTTCGTGAGCATCACCAAAGCTTACAGAATTACCGCTGTTGCCAACAGTTTGGTAATTTTTGCTGTAGTAATCTGTGTATGGTTTCGAAAAGGAAGGATCCTGGCGATAGAATTGACCATGTCCAGCGCCAGCACCTTCGTAATGATCATGATGATGGTAGTAAGTGGCTGAGCCGACGCCTTGTGGAGAGTATTCGGGAAAGGTGTTTTTGCTGCCAAAGAGGCCAGAGAAGGCGCCACCGCCAAAACCTGGGCCACCTTGTGGACGACACAATTTGAAGTAGGCAAACAAACCGGGCAGTATGATAGCAGCCAAGCCAAGTATTTTTTTCAAACCAGCAATGCCAAGGATGAAGGGCAAAAAGAGCAACAATTTCAGCTTAAAAATTTTCAATACCAACAACAATGGGATGATCATCTTCTTCAACTTCTTGCGAGCTATTGAGAGGAATAGTCAAGAATTCAAATATTAATTTTCGATTCCATATGATTTAATAGCAACTTGAGGAGATGGATTATTTACATGTTTTGGAGCGCGACTTACTGAAGACGGGCGCATGCTTATCCTCAATGACGTCCAATTCGCTGTCAATGTCGTTACCAATGAAACGTGCTGAATATCGCCCCGCCTCGGTGAGCTCCTCAGGCACGTCGATTTCCAATGCTGTGGACTTGACAAAGCTACAAACAATATGAAGAAGGGTAAAATTTAAAAAGTGAGTAATAAGGATGGTGAAAATAATTGATAAAAATAAACTGTCAAACTCTCACCGTTCAGCACGTCTCAATGCGTATTTTACCAATTGGTCCCAATCGCTATCCTCGTTGCGCGGTTCCTGGGAATACTCGAATGGCTCTTGCAAGAGGGAGCGTTGCTGCGTTTCGGGCAAACGAATGACGCGGGCGAAATCAGACAAACTATAAAAAGGAGAAAAGTTATATAAGTTAAGTTTTAATATTTAAGTATATTTTACATTAGCGATGGTTACCATGTATAACTTACGCATATTGGTCGCGATAGAAAATTTCATCGAAACTGCCCAGCGCTTGTGTTTTAAAGCACTCGGATAAATCGCCACTCACGCAATTTTGATTTGTGCGCGCCAAATAGGGGTCATTATCCTGCTGCAGGCCAATTAAACTCAGGAAAGCTGAACCCAAACCACGCTCCTGTCCATAACTTACAGCAGGCGACTGCTGCTGCTGTTGCTGTTGTGGATGCAATTGTTGTGGCTGCGGAACGAAAACCTGTTGAACATTTTGTTGTTGCTGTTGCTGCTGTTGTTGAGGTTGCTGATCGGGCAAACGCAGCCCCTGACTGGCTGTCATCGCAACACTGCAGGCCCAAATTAGCAACAGTGCGGGCCAAGTGTGCCTTAGATGCGTTTCTGTTCGTGTTGTCATTGCTGAAAACGAAAAATAAAGATAATTATATGAAGAGAAAATCGAATAAAATGCAGTGATGAATGTTGATAAGCATATTTTACATATATAAATATTGGTTAATAAAAATGCGCAAAATTTGCATAAACTTCACAAACAAATTTCACACTCTCTCTTTTACTACGAGAGGTTTATCTAAGTCGAACACAACAATAACAACTTTTGCTGGTTAACGTTTCACGATTTTCCCGCGCAATGTCAAGTTTACTCCTCGAAAACAACAAAAAAATCACACGCGCACAAATGCATATGTAACCATCAGTATGTACATACATGTATATACATATGTATGTATGTAGGCGAAACTTGTACCAATCGTTTTTGGCGGTATTGACCGCGTCTCGATCCAGTTTCGAAATGAAATGACCAAACATCGCCAACAGTTTGAGAAACTCGCAAAGCCCGTGGTCGCCGGTCTGCCAATGCAATGTGGGCTTTTCACTTTGCTGCGACGATCGAGATCGCCGCAAGCGCAGCACACATGTAAACAATTTTAACTAAAATTTATAATTTTTTCTTCAACTTTCGGCTTTTTTCGAAGAATATCTTTTACGTATATACCATAGTATGTATATGCGTCTTTCTGATAAAGAAACACAGCGGCAACAAAACGGAAAAGTGACCAATCGCTTTATGATTGCTCTTCGTTGACCGCATTCAACTCGTGGCTTTGCTGTCTACACGGTGCATAATCTCTTTGACATATGGCATACTTTCGGTGGACGACGCAGTGAGTACTGCGCTACTGGGTGCTGCGCATGCGCACACGCAAAATTCACTGAATAGAAATAATTCAATTCTTTTGTCAAGCGACTGACACCGTTATTTTCTATTGTTTAGTATTGTGTTTGCCCATTTTATATTTTTATTTATAATTATTTAATCAGTATCAATTTAAAACAAAAAACTTTTTTCTGCTTTAAGTGCGTTCCACCATTACACCGCCGCTGGACAAAATAGTACGAAGCGCTTCAATTCGCTTTAAAATGCGATACAGACCATAATAAAAAACAACAAGTAAATTTCACTTTAGTCTCAGCTGTTTTCAGTTGTTGTGGCACGTATGGTTGCCCAATGCATATATTGTATACATATACAATATATGTATGTATATACGTATATAGCAAATATGTATTTATATATTTGATGATACCTCAGCGCTTGCTTGACTGCTTTCTGCCAGCTGTAATGGCGCTTTGCATTTGTGTGAGTGCCATATTTTCTATTTCATAGATTTAACTTTAACTCAAGACATGGCCCAATAGAAACCAAAGCACATGTACTTATACAATATTATATGTAAATGTTCATCATATCAGACATATGTTTATGTGGTAATTGCAACCAAGTCGAATTAGTACTTAAGCAATTTTGTTGGAGTAAATGAAGATATAGAAGGTAAAATGCAAAAATATTCAATTTTAAAATTATTTTCAATAAGTAATTTCTACTTACAAGTATACTCGCATAGTAAATTAGTCATACACATACTTACAAATATGAGAAGAATTCCTATCCACTATTTTCTTCTAACCTTCCTTGCCTCTATAATTTTTATTTCTTTTGTTTTGAGTCATTTATGTGAGTACTGCTGAGGACAACGACGCCGCATCTTCGTACCGCATTTTCACTAATTAAACATACCCAACGCTTGTAATGCGCGTTTCTCTTTCTTGCGCTTGTCCATTGACTTTTGGCGACTAACTGATTGCTGCGGCACGGACCGCTAGTTTAACCGATAGCCAAAAGCAACAACGAATGACAGCAAAATGTGTATTTCTGCTTTGGTTGTTGCTAATAATGCTATTACGGTTGACGAGCGCTTCAGCGCTATGCGCACAAACTGATTTCTTATATCAGAAAAAGAAGAGAAATAACCGCACAAAGAAATGGACATAATTACAATACTTGTAAATTGTTTGGAAATAGTTTAATGTAACGTAATTTAAAAAAATGGTCTCCATGCAATATAGTAAATTGTGAATGTTGGTGTTGTTGTTGGTGTAACGAGCGTACATTTTCAATCGTAACGGTTGCTGTTTGAATGAATTTTTATTATGTTTCAGAGCGACTTCAATAATGTTGCTTGAGTTGAAGCATTGACGCGAATATTGAACTATGGTTTACAATTAAAAACAAAAACTAAAAATTGAGATTAAAACAATAAATTGAAAAAAGTCGAAAGGTTAACAAATTTCAGTATTGTTTTATCTCCAATCATACCTCATTTATGTGAGATAATGAATACCCCCTTCAGTTTTTTCTGGGTAATTAATAGAAATTGTCAGTAATTTTTTTATTCATTGTGGTTTGACCATAACTTCTGGCTTTTTCTCAATTTGGCGAAGTTGCAAGTCATGCCCAAGGTAGTTAAACACATTTTGACAGCTAAATCTATCTATCTTAGGGGGCGTCCATAAATTACGTGAGATGATGATGATATTGGTCCATTTAATCCAAATTGTATGTACATGCTTAAGATTTAATCTTAGGCGTCATCTTTCATTCATACTTCGACGTTATACATATACTGAATTTCATACCACCATATTTATTTTTCACCAAATACTTAGCTCAATTTTGTCTGAATTTACGGTACAGTGTAGTCCGTCCTTTGTTTTCGCGCCACTGTTAGCCGAACTTGCGATTCGATGAACGAGAGCGTGCGAGCTGAGTGGCAGCAACGCTCGGACAGGTTCTAACCTGCTTTGTTATATATGCATATGATTCTTCACGACCGTTTTCTGCCACCTCCATACCCTATAACTCAGGTTTATAGACATTTGACAATTCCGGACTTTAAAGAGCATGACGGAAAGTCATTTGCTCCATTTCTAATACGAAACTGCATACCGATTCAACCGCTAAATGCCGTCATCAGCACGCCATATGATCTCTATTGCCCAAGTATACATGATGATTTAGAGAAAAGATGCTGCAGTACATGCGATATTTCCTTTGCATCTATCACAAGAGTTGTAGAGCACAGGCGAGCCGCCCACATTGCACCAGCTAAACAAACACGTATGCTCCGCAAACTGCGACCATCACGGATTGTCACAAGACGAGCTAGTGAGTTACTGTGCGCAAGCGTCAACGGCTTGGAGTGATTAGATCAGAACGAAGTTGAAGGAGCAGATGATTTTACGGAAAATCATATGGACATGTTGGTTCCAATAGTCTCTCTTGAGACAGCGCATAATTCTCCATGGACTGAATTAGGGTAGATATTCTTTTTTTTACTCACAGTAGTCACGATTTAAGTATTCTATTGTTAAATTTTTATTACATTTATAACTCTCGGCAATATTGATTATATTATTAATTAACTAGTCGTAAATAAAAAGACGACAATAACAATCCAACGCGTTTACGTAAGAAACCCACATTCTGAAAAATCTCACATGAGATTGGTGGTTGGAGAGGGGGTTGAATAAAATCTATCGACATCTCACCAAGGCGGAGGGGGGACAGAAAATTAAAAAAAAAAACGCTAACTTCGGTTGCGCCGAAGCTATTATATCCTTCACAAATAGAAAAGCTGTCATATAAGAAGTTGATTTTGATTGGTCAGTTAATATGGCAGCTACATGCTATAGTAATCCGATCTAAACCATTTCTTCGGATATCGCACCGTTGCCTTGAACTATAATTCGTGCGAAATTTCGTGAAGATATCTGGTCAAATTAATAAGTTTTCCATACAAGCACTTGTTTCCGATCGTTCAGTTTTTAAAGCAGCTATATGCTTAAGCGATACGATACCGGCCGTTCCGATAAGTGAGCAACTTCTTTGTGAGAAAATGACAGGTGCAAAATTTCAGATCGATAGCTTATACATATACAGACAGGCGAACAGAAAGATGAACATATATATTTTATTGAGTTTACGACGTTTCCTTATGGGTGTTACACCCTTCGTGGCAAACTTAATATACCCTGTTTAGTGTATACAAACATACTCGTACAAAAAAATTAATATAAATGTCGAATGGACCAATACGAGTATACTCGTATACGAATACGTAGTAAATAGCAAAAGTGTCAATTTGGTTTGTTTAGTCTGGGAATTGTTCTGAAAAAGGCAAATAAAGATTATACCTGGAATGGTTTCTTTTGTGTGGGAGTTATCAATAAATAATCCAGAAGGAAAATATTTTATTTACCGGAGCAGAAGCAACTTCTTTGCTATAATTCGTACACATCACCACATACTTATTTAAGCTTCCTTACTTTAGCGCCACCAAATACACTGGTCTTTACTCAAAAAATGTCCATTCTTCATACTTTTACAATTTCGCTTTTAAATTACAAAAGCTCTAATGACCAAATTATCATTGTTAAGTTGTGAACTGCTACCGGTTTTCCGACGCCTAAAAGGCAAAAATATTCGTTGTGCAAATTTGTGTTAAGACTTGTAAGAAATCGCACAAGTTAACAAATTACTCCCATTTGCATCGTGACAACTTGTTGTTGATAGTGCCTCGTTTATGGTACTTGGTATTATGCTCATAAATATCACTGCCATCAAAATCAACCGTTATTTATAGTTGTTTATGGGCGATACATTTGTTTAGAAAAGAAGCGAAGAGTTGCAAATATGAAATTTTAGAAACAAAAGCGACAATTTTCAATTCTACTAAGCATATCTAATGCAGTAACAAAATATGTCATGACAGTTTGCTTCTTAGAGTTCACAGAAATATAATGATAATGTAAGCTTCCTGAAGTGGACATAAAGCGAGGCGACCACAATGCTTGCCGGTGAATTATATTATACAATAACAAGCGCTTGGCTCTAGCATTCAGTAACCACACCGCTTGGCCTTCTAATGTTTGGGCTGCAATATGCGAACATTTGTTGCATGTTGCTTTGTGAAGAGCAGAAGCATGAATGTGTTCGACCACTTTCAGGTGCAGCCAGCGAAAACGAAAGCATGGCGAGTATCTATTTACAATCTGCGCGTTAAAATTGTTACCGAAGTTAAAATGTTTAGATGCTTCTCAAAAGCGACGTTGATTTGCGTCTAAGCTCTTAACAACGTCATTGTTGTTTTCTTTAACATACATATGTATGTCGATACATAAACATAACATAAACTTTTACTTTCAGGTTTCCCGCTACACAAACTCTTGGCGCCTTAATGTGACTGAGATTTCATATTTCTTCACATTTATGCTTTCTTTTCTCCGTTTCTAACATTACCATAATTTGCTTTCGCAAACTTTTTATCTCCAATCGTGGAATGGAATAAACGTGCGCGTTTACGTGCCGGTATAAACGCCCACACACACACACAAATACTTTTGCTCCGTTGCGGTGGTTATGTGGATGTGTGTGTGTTTGAATGTGTGGACGGCGTAAGAGCGCTGGTTAAAGCCGTTGAACCCACAATATCTGCTCTGGCACTATTCGTCTCAAAAGTGTGACTGTACGTTTGTGAGAAAATACAGTTCCTGAATTGAACTTTGACCACTTCAATGTTATTATAATTTTTCAGCATCACACCACAAGGCCGGCGAGAGATTACTTATTGCATACGTTCAACGAAACTGTTGTGAATTTCAAATAATGGCATAAATCTGTTGTAGCAATACAAAATCTAATTTTTGTAATAATAATAAGTAAATTTAATAAGAAGTTGTTTTCGCTGGTAGGCGGGAGAATAAAGATGCCTACCGCTACACGGGGTTGGAAATCAATCATTGAAGCATTGAACTCTTTAGTAGAATCCCCTTCCAAAAACTTTTTGTAAATGGTCCAAATATCATATACTTTTGGGTGTATTGTATATCGGTTAGAATAAAATTTAAAAGATATACATATGTATGTTCTCACTAATATGTAAGTCCTTGAATTTACAGCAGTTGCAACAAATGCCTATAATATCCTCGCATTATTTCGTTAAAATAGTTCCAAAACATCTTTTAATATCCGCACGAAACACCCGTATGTAACGGTATGAACTTAAGTGAATATCTTTGGCGCATTCTTCACTCAAGAGTGTCATCACAATGACAAAATTTATCACAGATGTCTGCAAAAGCTCGAGGTACTTGGCAAATTGTTTTCAAGGTAAATTTAAGAATGCTCGCTTCTTGAATTTCCAGACCGGCAGAATTTCGACCAATTAAACTTTTTACATACAACTTTGTCAACGAACTATTTCAGGAGCGGCATAAGAGTTATTTGATGTGATGTGATGCTGTAATTGCTTGGAAATTTCTATTGGGTGCGAAGTTTTTCGTTACCAAGTAAATCAATGGCAATTTAATGAATGGAAGTTCTTGACTTTCAAAATTTAATCAAATTTTAGCTCTGAGTGTGATTAATAGTTAACGGCTGCATTGCAGAGTCAACGAGTAATTTAGGTTATGTATATTATTTAGTGCTCTTCTGAACAGCCTGTTTGTTTGTACCATATTCGACTTAAAGTTACATAAAAGTTGTTTAGCACTGAATAAAAACTTAACACCACTGTTCACAAGCGAAATGAAACGGTAGTGATTATTCATCAATAATTGTGAGCTTTCCAATTCACTGGACGTGCACAAGCAAAAACTAAGCTACTTCAATGCCGGTTTGCCTAAAATTATGTTCCATATCTTACTAATGCTTACGCAATGAAGACACGCGATTCAGCTTATCTTGTAACACAGCTAAAATGCCTAAAATTATGCAATAAAAAAGTGCAGTTT